TCTGGCGGTTGCATGGTTGGGTACTCCTATGAAAGATATCTTCTCTTCTTTATGTGGCTGGCCACACCAAATTTGCAGCCTGACTGGTGCTTGGCGCTGTTAAAGCAGCATTCCCGCAGCACACCCAGTGCTGACCGAAGGACATCAGCCAGGCTGTCAGGTTCCAGTAGCCGTCACTTGGAGTCCAACATCCCCCACAAGCTGGTTGAATGAGTCAGGGGAGACCTTCGTCCAAACAGACGACTGGCACAAAACTTCCTTGCCCCCAGGCTTCAGACCCGCTTCCCAGGATCAAGAGATATTGTTTTGTTCACTTTCACACTCTCCTGTCCATTGGCGACCCCCGGAGAAATCTGGGTCCGAGTTTATTCCATCTGGCATTAAATATTCATGAGACGAAGTACGGTCATTGAACCGGAGTGGATCCCATGTTAAATTTTTGTCCAAAAACCGGAGCATTCCCCTACTGGTAGCCCGCTGGATGAAAAACGGCAGTGGTATCTTTTTTGAGAAGATCCGAGAGTTTCGCACTGAGGAACAAGACCATCACCCTTGCCCCAAACCCTCTTACAACCTCACTCCTTAATGAGTGAGAGTGCATAATACACTCACACTAATGTCATTCTTCACTCGTAAATATATATTTTCAAATTGGTTTTAAGTACTGTTAGCTACTCCTTGGTTGCTTGTTTGCTATTTTTATATTGCTGTAGTATATTTATCTGTTCTGTTGCTTGGCTTCTTTCTCTAAATTAACTTTTGTGCCAAAATGATTCTAATGTTGTTAGAGGTTAACATTGCAATCAGTTCATTTAAGTATTATATTCATAGTGTTTTTCATAAAAATTGTATATCGATGATTGTGCACGTGGGGTATGGGGTGTGCACGTGAGTACGGCGTGGCAACGTGAGTACGGCGTGCATCGTGGTCTGGGTGTGCACATGGCCATGTACATGGGAAATAGATGTGTGCGCATAAGCATGTGCTCAAACATGACCAAAATACATACATAAAATTGATGAACCGTGCACGTGAGTTCGGAGTGTACGGGAGTGCACGTTGGTACGGCGTGCATGTGTATGTGAGTGCCTTTGTTCCATGTATTGATGTATGAAAGTGACAACAAGAGAACAGTATATTGTGTGTGTGTGTGTGTGTGTTTTTGTGCAAACAGCTCTAGATGAATTCGTTTTATGGTATGGTTCATTTGAATAAATACCTAAGAAAGTACTGCAAACTTTGAAGGCCTTTTTCTCAAAATCATGGTTCGATGACATTCATTATGTAAACTGACGTATTTTGCTTAATATTTGGAGGACAAAAACAATATTGATATCATTAGAAAGCTAAGAATCTCATCTTTCCAACAGTGTATCAAACTCAAAATGTGTTTCAGGGTCAATGTGACTGAAAATGATAGAGCAGGTCACATTTATAGTGAAAATTGTCATTAGTTGCAGCCCTAGTAACCAATAACCACGCAGACGTAATATGTCAAATGTTTGAATCAAGACCAAACCAAAAATGATATTAAATCTGAGATATTTGGTCACATAATTTCCTGTTCTTTTCAAATTAATATTCCTGGATTGTTTGACAGTTATGTCTTTATTTTATCTGTACTGAATGGATTAGGTCCAAGTTCTGAATTCAGAAAAAAAGGCACATTTAAATCTTTTATTTAAGTTCAGAGTAAGATAAGCCTCAAACTGATAAGAAGAAGCCTGAGGAGTTCCTTATAATGCTGGGTTTGCTTCAACAACCATATCAATCAAGCTTTAGTGCTGTCGAAACACGAGACAAACATCACAAGAAAATACATTATTAGACGGTTAAAGTTAAGTTATTAAGTCAGGGACTCAAATACAGGAAAACAACACATCCAAAACTAATGTGAAATATACAATCTAGCATCCCATCTTTTTAAAGCATCATTCGCAATAATAGCCGAGAGGTTCCCAGTGTTGTTCCCATGTTAACGTCACATGTCATGATTGCTTCAACTCTAGATGCGGATGTATACAGTACATCACAATCTTTTATTGAGAGGATGATTGCAAACCCTACCTTTTTCTTTTCCAAAAGCAGATACATTTGGTTTAAATACTACTGGGCTGCATCATAGATGAACAACCAGTAATTATAAATATCAAGCACCAGTCCAGTTAACCCTGATTATTTAGGCAGAAGATGCCAGATTCATTGAGAATTACTGGGATTTTATTTTACAGTTTGAAAGTAAACAACCACTGTATCTGAGCAGCAGATTACATGTTAGCATTTACTAATTTTTAGGACAGTTTTCTGAGGGGGAAAGTTGAGGTTTAGTGTATATTTTATCCACTCCAAGTGTTCTTTACGGCAAGGTTATTTCTTAAGCACATTCAAAATACAATGGATGCTTTTTATTCAAAGAAACAAAGCAGATTTTCAGCTGCCATGCCTCCAGATTAAAAGTAGAGGATCATTTGCTGAGTCACAGGATTGACAATAAATGCCCACAGACATGCACATCATATTTTACACGACATTCACACACACACACACACACACACACACACACACACACACACACACACACACACACACACACACACACACACACACACACACACACACACANATAGCTTGACCGCCTGGACGTCCAACAGCTCCTCTCTTCACAGTACTCGCAGAGACGAGCGTCTTTCATTTAACCCTTCACATTCCAACAGAAACTGAATAGGCAGATTCGAAGGATTTATTTCTTTGGAAATGTTATTTTAAATACAATTAAATCAAGTTATTTTGGTAAAACTAATGATAAATAAAACTAAAAAAAATATATTAAAAAATATATATATATTTTTAACGTTTTTAAATATTATTTTGTAGAATATCTTAGGCCCTCACAGTGGCCTAGAGGGCCCTGACGGCTCGCCACTGCCATAACAGCTGCCTCAGTTGTTTTTATTTTACTTAGTGTTGCAATGTTAAAGCCTTCTGCAACAAGATACTACGCAAAAGGCTCAAATGGCAAATATGATGGAAGAGCTGAGATCACGTTGATCCACCAGATGGCCTCAGACTTACAAAAGTAATATGCAGCTCACACATGAATGCAGCAGTGTTATCTGATACGTCATATGTGATCAAATATAAGCACAGGAGACATTTAACAGCAGAATGAGTATCCTTTCGGTATGTTTTGCTTATACTTGGGTACTTTTTCTTTGAAAGGATATTTATGGAGGATTTGGAGAGTTTTGGACATTTGTTCAATGTTGGGATCTGAAGTACAAACATGAAAGGTTTTTGTACTTTACTTGATTATTTACGTTTGATGCAGCATTGAACTTCTAAACTTATTTTTTTTACCAAAGAAAGGTATTTGACTACAGATTTTTTTGGTGTTAAAATTAAGTTGCATTATTTACTTCGCCAACTTCTTACTGTATCTGTTGGTACAAACAGTAACATAATGTCCTCTTACCTGGAGACATCTCATCAGAGACATTTCCCTCATGCCTGACAGAGAAGTGTTCAGGTAACTTTCCGGTCACATTCCAGCCTGTTTTGCCTGAAACGCACCGTGCTGCAGGCGTGTCTGATCCACCGCAGGATAACTCACTGAGAGCAAGTTCAGCTGTGGTTAGTACACTGGGTGATTGGAAAGATAAATATAGGACTAGTTTTTATCAATAAAACACTTACCTGTTGCATGTTCAGAAACAAGAATGCACTTCAGATTCCCTACATCATGTGTAAGGAATTTTGAAACAGAAAACACGATGAAGAGGTAAAGATGCTATAACTTTAGGATAAAGTGAAAAGAATAACCTCCCGATTGAAATGGTTCACAAATAGAGACTTGACTGATAAAGACTTCACTGCAGAATACACTTTAAATGAGGCTTTCGATAGACATCAAAATTAATCTGGGGCGGGCAGCTATCTTGTTTTACAATATCTCAGTAAGAATAATTTGCTCTGCATAGTAGAAGACATTTTTCAAACAAAAAAAAACACGTCAAACCGCTCAGCTCTGTTTACTGCAATGAAGTGATTGTAACCATGGAAACACTGGTCAGCAGTATATGTGTTTGTCCTCGTGGTCAGGTGTCACCAATTTTCACTTTGGAAACAGTGGTCAGCAGGTGTCTCAGATTGTAACTATGGAAACACTGGTCTAGGTTATACCTTTAGTTACCGTTTTTTTAAATAGGTGAAGCATATAGTCACCACGGGCACATTGATCAGCAGGTGTCATCGATTGTCACCTTGGCAACACTGGTTGGCAGTTTTCCCCAATTGTTACCATTAATCCCACCACAATATATATTAGTATTATATATGAGTAGCTGTTCCCTTAATCTTGTGATAATCATGTGATACAATAAACTAAATGGAAGCACTAAATGGTCTTATTGTGTAAGTAATGTCCAAAAATGTACAGTATTTAACTAATTTGACTTTCTCTTTGATATTTAAATAGAAGGAAGCCTCATAGCAACAACATATTGTATCAGAAGTGTGTAAAAAGTTTTCTCACAAAGTCTGCCAGTTTTATCCCCCAGTCAGTAATAACTGCCTGATTGTAGAGAGACTGGTGACAGGTGACATTAAACACGGGGACTTGACCGAACAGCTCAGGGTTTACTAAACTGATGCCTTCATACACTTTTCTCCTAACGAGGTGAAAATAAGTCGGATTAAAGAGTTTATTAAGCCCCATGACCCCAACAGATAATCCCTTAAAAGTGACCCAAACATTCTTTTCCAGGCCAAATGAAACCAATCTTATCACCAGCGAGTCCACAGCCTGACACACACACACACACACACACACACACACACACACACACACACACACACACACACACACACACACACACACACACACACACTCCTCCCTTTCAAACCTTCCACTAAACCGGTCTTAGTCTGACAGCAGACGTTTTTTTCCCTCTTCCTCTTCAGTGTGTTGTGACTTGAGGCACATGTATCCATCTGATTTCTGACTATGTTTCTCACGCAAAGAACACCACAGGGCCTATAAGAGCCCCCAGCGACCAGCTCTACAGTTCAGACCGATCCAGCAGACATACAGCATGGGTGAGCTTATTCTCTTTACTTTGTTCCCTTCCTGTTAATCCGCTGCAGTTTGTAGTGCTGCTATGATACTTATCAGCACTACACACCAAACTCTGTGCACATTTTTAATCTTTAATTATGTGAAATAACTATAATATATTATTAGTAATGATGTCTAAAGAAATTCTCACTGAACAAATCAAACTTCGGGCACATTTTGGCATTGATTTTGGAGCCTTTTTTCCATTGTTAGTAGAAAAATAGCACGCATCAGAAACCAAACACCTTTATGTGCGACAGAATTATTATCACCGAAATGTACTGAAAATATCAAAAAAAAAAATGCTTATTATGCATTTCCTTTTTTTTATCATGAATGAATATATCACAGTTTTTCTATAGCAATATATCAATATAGCAGAGAATAGTTTTAGTAAAGCATAAATAATCAACTTTAATTAGCATTATCATTCAGATTAATGTGAAAACAATGTCACCTCAATAACCTCAAAGGTTATTAGAGACACCAGTGCTTGTATTCTCATTTTAAGTTTCTGTTAGTTGCAGTTTATTCTTGTAGGAAATTATTTTACAGTACAGAAGCTAATTTCTGGCTCTGTCTCTCAATACAACTGCTTCAAAGGCTCCCCTTTACAGGTTGAATAAAATGGCTTTAAGTTGGTTTGTAAATTATTTACTGATGCTTTCATTTCAACCCTTAACCTTTTATGATAACAACTCCATGGCCAATCATGTCAAATCAACTGCGTTTATATAGCCCAGTTCACAAATCACAAATGCCTTAAGGGTCTTAACAGCAGCTCCGATCCTAGACCCTCCATTCTGAGAAGGGAAAAACTCCCCTTTTAGTGGGGGAAATAAAAGAAGAAACCTGAGGAAAAGCAGCCGAGGAGGAATCCCTCTGGAATGACAGACATGACTTAGATGTGTGTATCAGAATAAAACAATAAATAAAATGACATTAAAGAAAGTCCAATGGACAAAAATGATACATAAAATGTGAATATTTTTTATTTGAGGACATTAAACAGCTGGCGTCCATCTTATCTGCAGCTCAACTCATTTTAACATTAACATTTAATTTGAATCTTTTAAATATTTCCAGTGCATTATTGTGTTATTTCACTTTCTTTTATAGAGGTTTAATACTCTAAAAAATACTTAACTTACCTAACTTTAAAAGTTTAGGAGAATCTTAATAATACGGGTTAAATGTGTAATATGCACCCTTAAATGTTTTGCAATCCAATTATTTACCCCGAAAATTTACCTGAAACCTAAACCCTCACAAAGGCTGAGCAACTGGAAAATGAAGGTCCTTTAATATTCAAGTTAAAGTGCACCTGCAATCATGACTAGAGACCCTCCATTAAGAATTAACATACATTTTCAAAGCCTTTTCCAAAAGAGAATTTTTACGACGTGTGTGTGTGTGTGTGTTTTCACAGCTCAGAAAACGGCCCTGATCGTGTACGCCCACCAGAGTCCGGGCTCGTTCAACGCGGCGGTGCGTGACGTGGCGATGCAGGAGCTAGAGGCCCAGGGCTACAAGGTGCTCGTGTCTGACCTCTACGCCATGAACTTCAGGGCTAACGCAACTCAGGACGACATCATCGGTGACCTCCTATAGTTTATTTTACTCTTATAGTATAGTTTTTATTGTCGAAAAAATCCAATTGAAAGACAAAAGATGTGTTTGTACTTCTTTCCGACCTCCTGTCTGTGGCTCTATTTTCCTAATGGAGGAGTACATCTTGAAAGTTATAAATAATAATGCAATAAAGTTCTGACAGTGTGTTGTGTTCAGGTGACCATAAGAATCCAGAGCTTTTCCAGTATGGAGATGAGACCATGCATGCCTGGATGGAAGGCCATCTAAGTGATGACATCATGGCGGAGCAGCGCAAAGTTAAGGAGGCCGAGCTCGTCATCTTCCAGGTCAGAGGTCACTCACATTTCTACTTTATTATTCCATAATCCCAATTTCTATACAGCATGTATACACTAACTCTGGCTCTGCTATTTAGAAAAACTCTTCTTCTGAATGTATTCATTGGTTTGTTGTTTTTACATAGTAAAATGATATGTATAGTATACTTAAAGCACCTTCATAAATATTTGCAGAAAGAACACCGATTTGACCATTCGATTTAAGATCAGTGTGACATGTTGTGCGTCTTTTTGCAGTTTCCTTTGTACTGGTTCAGTGTGCCGGCCATCATGAAGGGCTGGATAGACCGAGTGCTGACACAAGGCTTTGCTTTCTCCCTGCAAAAGATGTACAATAACGGTATATTCAAGGTCAGTCCCCCTCTCACCTGGATCATATATCCCTTCAAACTCAGCAACATGATTAAATAAAGTAACATGATGCAAATATTTGCCCTATTTTCCTGATTTAAACATATTCACAACAAAAAATATAGTGATAATCATATGAATTATCAAAATGTACAAATTTATGTATTGAGTTCGGCATTTTGGCATGTGCCATCTTGTTTTTTTTAACCAATAGGGACACAAGAAGGGGCAGACAGGCCACCTGATGGGTATCATTTTTGAGGCATAATTGACTCCTCAGAGGTTGCCACTTAATCAAAGAATTTCAATTTGATAACACATCTGCATTATAAAGGGTTATAAATGGCATCTGTGTTTCCTGTCCTCATGCTTTGTATTGTCTTGAAGGATAAAAAAGCGATGCTGTCTTTCACCACTGGAGCAACACAGACCATGTTTCGGCCTGACGGTATCAATGGAGACATCAACATCACGCTGTGGCCTCTACAGGTGAGCCACTCAGACCCATACACTCAAAAATACATTATGAAGAGGTCATTACTGCCTGTTGTCCTTATACATTATTAAAAAAAACACGGCAAACACAAAGCTATACCTAATCATTTATTCATGGGGAACTTTTCAAAAAAGACACAAAGTGCTTTGCATATTTAATAAGAAACAATGGGACAGAATATTAACCACATCAAAACAGCTACACTCGTTTGGTGAGCTGTTAACCTGTTTCTCTCTTGTGTATTTGTCTCTTGTGTCTTTCAGAACGGCACTCTGCACTTCTGTGGATTTCAGGTTCTTGCTCCTCAGATATTCTGGAGCCCGGCTCACTGTCCCTCCGCCATGCGAACAGCCCTGCTAGACGGGTGGCGAGCCCGGCTTAAAGGACTATTGACAGAAAAGCCTTTGAACTTCGCCCCCTGTGAGCTCTTTGACCTCAGCTTTCAGGGGGGGTTTATGATGTGGCCCAAAGTGAGGGAGGAGCGAGAGTCGCAGCCGTACGGCCTCACCACAGGACACCATCTGGGGAAACCACTGCCGCCTGACAACCAGATCACTGCCCAGCCCGCGGACGAAAGTAGTGCCAAACCAGCATGCAAGAAGTAGAACTTCTCTGCTTCTATACAAGATCATAATAACAATGTTTTGGTTTATAAGTGATTTATATTTATAAAAGCTGAAATAAAACAATTCAAATAACAATGATTGAAAACTATTTCTATTCAGGTGGAAAAACTAATATAGTTGTAATTTGCATACACAACAACTAAGGCTGAAGACTCAACTGGCATATATAGTGCCAGGTGTATAGCTGCGTGCATTAACGCCTACTTCTTCACTCAAAGTACAGTTTTTTAGTTACTTGTATGTTTTCCCTCAAGTTCCGTTAATGTAGCTGGTACACCTTGATCTGTATCAAAGTACTGGTATCACAACATATCAATGTTTTTTATTGGTTATCTTTAACTCTCAGTTAACACATTTTTTATAAAGATAGACGTGTTGAAGGAGTCTAGCAATCTTTTAATGGCCATTCCATTATTCAATCTAATTCAGTCCTATTCCTTTCAAGTACTTTACTCTTATTATAGTCTATTTTATGCATATGACATGCAAAACGCTCTCTTCTTTTTTCCCTATTTGTTCATTTTTGTTGGACAGTTTTCCTGTATTTTAACCGAGGTATAAGTACTATTGGGGAATCTTATGTTGTGTGATGTTTGTGCCGGAGCCGCTTCATCCAAAAACAGCACTCCGGTTAGAGAGTAGACGCGGAGACAGGAAATACAGTCTTTGGACTTTATTTCAGCTTGAATGGTTCTTACAACAGCTGTAGCAGTATTGAATGATGAATGAATTGTTGAATGGAGATTGATGAATGAATGTAGAATGATTGAATGCTTTATTCTTCACGAACGCATTCTCTCTTTGACGGTAATTATGTAGGTGACGATGCGACCGCAATAATGTCCTGTCATCAAACGCACATGGGTAAACAGCTCGAGGACCCGTAGCTGCGCTACTTAGCTGTCCCCAAATGTGCCTGACCAAAAAACACAAACGATACAACGCAGACCAAAGAAAACAAGGGGAATTTACAACAATGACATTTAAAATTGAAAAACGAATTTATGAGAAACTCTATTATAATAGTAACTCCTAAATCAGCCTTTTAAAGCCGCCATTGTTGGCACATTTCAGCGTTTCCGCCGGGGGGGCGTCTTCCCGTCATTTGACGGCCTTATTCAGCTCAAATGAATGAGCTGAATAATTCATTTGAGCTCTCGGGGTTGACACCCTCTCAGCCCTGGTCTGGCGGAAACACTGGCCCTCATGATTAATCTGATAATGATTTTCAAGATAAAGTGAATAGTTGTTTAACATAATGTCTGAAATCTGTTAAATGGCCAAAGGGGATTCTATTTTTGTTGTTTCATGTATTTGTATTGGGACTAGTACATAACCCGAATCAATGGAAGACACCACAGCATTTAGGCTAAGCTAAGTCTGACCAACCAAACATTTTTTACTTATCACATAACAAAAAGAAAAGCAGACCATCCTGAGAAGGTAACATTTTGGCTGTTTTGCTTGAAATGACTTATTTATATTTCCGTAGATCTAATTTCAGCTCCAGTTATTACCTTCTTGCTTTGTTACATGACCATCTTTTTTTCTGCAATGATTAATGTGAGAAAGGTGGTGGCTTCTTTTTGTATTTAACAACAACCTGTTAGATATAAGTAGCAAGCTGTGTTGCTTTAAACATGTGCATTTCATGAACCTCACAGATAACTCTGAGATCATCCGGGAATCAAAGTATTTGGACAGGATATTTGATTGGAAGAGATAAAAGAACCCAAGCAGATGCTTTGAAGAGAGCGACAAGAAGAGGACTGTAACAGATGTTGTCAGAGATACATTAAAAACAGTCAAACAATGGCAGCCTATTAATGTTGGAAAGAACCTAAAAAAGGCGGATGGGATCTGTACTGACCTGCAAGAAAGGGTGTCAACTTCTGAAATTGATTTGTTGCCAGTGATTTACCCACGCGTTCAATGAAAACAAAGAAATGTTATCCGTCTAATTGGACGTGATTAAAGGTTGGCGGGAAAGGTGGCAGAAAAACCATTAAAGATTGCGCTTTAATGATCCCTCGCCGTGGGATATAATATTCACATTTCCAATTCGTGTCTCAACTCAGCTCTAACAGAGTCCTGGTATGAGCGGGCGGAGGACGGCAGACGGGGATAGACAGAACAGGTTGAGCTGTACCCCCTCAAGACAAAATGCAACAACTACATGAAAAAGACGGTACTGGAGTATCTCTACGGGCAAAACAGCGATAATTCGGCTCCCTAAGACCGCTATTAGACTCCTATCCACCTATGCAATTACACTTGGCCCCGCTAAGCCGTCCCCTTCAGTTTACCTGGAGGCTGTGTGTGTGCGCACGTTATTAGATAAAAGTGTCTGCATTTATTGGGCTAAGTATGTATGAGAGAGAAACAAAGGTGACACAACGACAAAGGGAGGCAGGGAACCATAGAGACCAAGCCGAAATCGCTTCAAAATAAACCAAGAAGCACTTTCATCCTTCAAATTCGGTCCCTGAGAAGGAGTGTGCCCAGCAACCCTAGCAGCACTTCCTGTTTCGCAGAAGACCTCAGCTTCTGAGTGCTTTAAGGCTCTTTGTAAACAAGTGTTAATATGCTACCTCTGCGAGAAACTCCAGCTTAATGGAGGAATGACTTACTATGACCAGCGCTGACAATTCTGAATGCTCGTGGCCTTGGGGTATCATTATGCTATAACGGACCCTTTTCTTCTAGCAGCATTGTTTTCAAACACTTTAATTAAAAAGCTGCATTCGGAAAGCCACAAAGAAAGGAATATAATAGAGAGACATGACATAATGGGGCAAGCTATTTGTGAGACTATGGACTGTAACCCTGTCATCTGCTTCCTGTTTTCCCCAGAAAAGCAGAGCACCAAACACTACTGCTACCATGTGTGTTCATCTCTCTTTCTTCCATTCATTCACTTCTCAATCTTAAATGCATGTGACATACTGTATAAAGATATTCATAAAGGAAATGTCAATTGCACAATGATAAAGGTATTCTATGTGAAGCAAGGCCACGTGAAAACACATGCCTCTTTTAAACATTTATCCTGGCTTCCGGTCCAGCACAGAGATGGAAGCTTAGAACAACACGCTCCCGACCTAAAACATCTAAAAACACTGTCCGAACAACGCAATCCAACTCTTTGAGTGCATTTAAGTCAACGGGGAAATATCGGACTAACGAAAAATGTCCAGAAAAGGAAAGAGAAATACAACAAAAAGTAAAAAGCTTGACGAGGAAGAAATCGATCAGCTGTCTCAAGTCAGCAACAGCATGGATGATGACACGCAGCCAGATGACGCGGTTCCCAGCGGGGAAGCTCATATGAGTTTAATTCTAAAAGAGCTGGGAGACTTTAGAAAAGACTCCTGCCAACAACTCAGCGGAATAAAGGAAGACATCAATAAAATCAACAAAAGAATGGAGGAAGCAGAGGAACGAATTGACGCAGCCGAGACCAGGATCCAGTCATGGGAAGAGGTGGTATCTGGCCTAGTGAAGCTACAGGTACAGACAGAGGCTAAACTGACGGACCTAGAGGGACGAACACGCCGCGAGAATGTAAGGATTTACGGAGTAGAGGAAGGAGCAGAAGCCATGTCGACATCGGTGATCGCATTTGTGGAAGAGCTACTAATTAAAGGCCTGGAACTGACCCCCTCTACGCTACAGATTGAGAGGGCGCACCGTGCGCTCGTCCCCAAACCTCCGGCCGAGGCCTCACCGAGATCTCTGGTGGTGAAATTTTCAAGTTTTAAAATGAAAGAAGACGTAATCAAAAAAGCCTGGCAGAAAAAGGGTTTTTATTTCAAAGAAAGAAAGGTCAACGTGGACCATGATTACGCACCTGAATTGCAGAGAAGGAGGAGGCAGTATGCGGAAGCCAAAGCGGCACTTAAGGAAAGAAACATAAGATTCCAGAGCCCATTCCCGGCCAGATTAAAAGTATTTTATGATGATAATCCAGTGGTCTACAACTCGGCTGAGGAGGCAACAGCAGACATGGTGAAGAGAGGGATAACAGTGACTGTCCTAAAAAATCCGAGCTCGCTACTGGACCAGATTAACCGGCTGACCTGGGAACCCAGCAGAAAGCGAGGAGGTCAACTACACCCGAGCTCCAAGCAACATTACAAGGAACGGCTCCGAAGCTTCGACATCGGGATATCTGATAAGTAGCCTATGTTTCATAAACGCCCTCTTTAATGGATACTCCTTTCTAAACATTTATCATATTCCTTTGACACCCATCCTTAGATTGTACTGTTGCTCTAACTCCAAATTAGATGTAATTTGCATCAGTGCCTTTATTGTTCATCTCTTCTTTCTGTTTTCTTTTTGGAGACATCTGGAATATAAGCAAAATGCTTCAACAAACAAGAGAAACGCCGCCTTGTCTCATTATAGCAAATCAACAGGGAACAAAGCTGTCTGACTAAATTACATCTCGGCAGAAATGACATAAAAAAGTCCCTAAACAAATACAAGAAGGCGAAGAAGAAGGGAAAGCTGCCATCACACTGTATCATAGAAGAGAATCAGTTCGCACAACGGTTCATCGCAACAACAAAAAAACCACGAAGCGAGAAAATGACGGAATACTTTCAGGTTGGAAATGTTCCATCCCTCCCTCTGTCGGTTGCCATTAGATAATGCCTTTTTGTCCTTCCTGATCTCCCCCAATTTGCAGTGAAATCATTTCCTATTACGCATGGGTCGAATTTTAGACAATTATCAACACTATATAACCGTGTTAAATCCTCTTCACCCTGTTTTACATATTTTTGGAGGTGACTTTACAATCATTTTCCAGGCATTCAGTCGCTGGCAAGCATACAAAAATAAAATCCATCTTCGTCTACTTGAGGAAGGATAACCCTTTTGATACTTCGCAGTAGGGAGGAATATTAATAGTTTGGGAAACGGGTAAACAAGCCTCCAAAACAAGGGAGGATATAGTACCGCCTAACTGGTTGATTACAGCATAATCTATATGTGTGTGTGGCTGTGTGGGCTTGCATTTGTGTGTGTAAAGGTGCCTGTGTTTGTGTGGAGGGGAGGGGGAGATGGACAAACCCAGGGGTCCGTTTATCTAAGCTGACAGAAACAATTTACAGCACTGCCAAATGGGGAGCAAGCGCCCCTCACACACAGAGTGAACTGGAGGGGAACCAGACAGAGAAAGCAGATTGTGTGGCGTTAAGAAAAAGCCCTGTAACACTCTGCTGCTACCAATAACACCGGGCTGGGGATGAGATCTGGACCTGCAATTATTTTGTCATGACTGACCAACAAATCCATCTATCCTTCTATCGCTCCTTCATTTCATCGATTACTGCCAGCAGCTACTGCTTCTTCACTGATGTCAAATAGAAATGTTTCAAAACTGGCAATTATTTGTTGCAGATCTGGATACAAGAGTGTCCTTGTTGTGTCTGTTGCTAAACATTAAAACATGTTCTGTACAGTCAGGCCATCGGTGGTTCAAGGTTGGGGGGGAGTGGGGACTGAGCTTGGACCCCTCTGTGGCCCTACTCCAAAAGAAGAGTCTACGATGATAGTGTTGCAGCAGAGACTGTGCTGTCATTTGGGCTGAAGTAAACAGGGATATGATTTGTTTGATAAAAATCATTAACACAAATGATGTACTAAAACACCAATCATGTTGTTTAAGTTTTGTTTTTATGTCCGCTATGATTTACAGTATACTAAACTGAAAATGTTGAAATCTTGAGCACTGTCTTTGTCTCTATTGTTCCACATTGAATGAGCCCCTCCCATTAAATAACTGACTCGCCAGTAACATTGCCACTGAGACCGTCCAGAATTAATCTGGTCTATATTTACTAACAATGATCTGCTTTCAGTAAGAATCACATCACTATGAGACGATATGAAAGTATTTTAAAGCATGGACGTTCATTCTTGACCTTTGAAAAAGTGTGTTTGTGACAAACATATCCAAACTGAGAAAAATCAAATTATTAGTTTTACGTGAGCTTTCAAACTCATGATAAAACTATAAGATGTGTATAAGCTCAGAAAAAAGGGGGGGACCTTTGCCATCGTTCTCTTTGTCACAAATGCTGATTCCTTCATTCTCAAATCTTAAATGAAAGTGACATCCCAACTCAAATTAGATCCCAACTGATCATTTTACCATTCATTTATTTATCTTCTAGTATAATGTCCAACCAGTAGGTCATGTGATGATGTCTGAGTTCCATCACTGTTGAAGTCTGTGAGAAGCAGTTACAAGCTCTTTGAGTTGGGAATTTTGTGTGTGCGACAGCCCGAGGCAATGTATATCAACTTAAATGTTACTTTCAGTTTCAGCTACGGGGTCTACTTTTATGAAATTTCGTGGAAGGGTGAAGCATGGGCCAAGGTATTATTTATTTTTAATTTGTGGATTTCCACCATAATTGTCCAGTTCTCTTTTCCATTACAAAAAAAAAGAAGGACAAGGATTTTGTGGACTTTACCGAGTTGTGTTCAACACTGCGCTATCAAGTTAAATACATTTTAGAATAAAAGTATTGTAAAAGAGTTTTCAGTGGATTTGAAGTCGGGCAGTGCCTACAGGTTCAAGATCTGCCAAACAAACTGAGGTTTTGGGCTGAAAAATGAACAAACAGAATGTGTTTGGCAGATCAAAGTGTGGATCTAATTAAATAGCTATGACTGCTTTAAGTGGCTCCCAGTAGATAAAAAGTTGAATCCCACCAAAAAAAGGTTTCAGATCAAAGTTACCAGGGAACATGTCATGACCATATACCAGGGGTCGGCAACCCCTGGCACGCGTGCCAGCATTGGCACGCGGCACCGTAACCAGTGGCACACTAGGAATAAGTGGAATAAGTGTGCAAAAATATTTAAATTGTATTTTCGGATCCTGAACGAGACCGCCGCCAGAGCGCGTCTCCCCGTTACCTGCAGAAGGAAGCCATGCACGCAACGCAGCCCCGCTCTCTTTATCTCCAGGTGACATTCTGCCGCTTTCCTCCGTGGTGTTGTGCTGATCGTTTCACCACGGAGGAAAGCACTTCACTAATTGCAGTACCCATAAGGAGCTGTACAAATGCCGCAGTTTTTGCGTGCCTGTGTATTTAGTTGAAAGCCCAGTGGCGATCTGCTCATCTCTCATCTAAATAATATGCTACAAAGGGGCGGAATGGCCATCTGTGTGTTGAACTTTCCTGTCGGCTCCCAGACCGTAGTCGAGGAGGGCAGAAGCAACAAGCTTCAGGTTCAATAACCCACTTTAGAGAGAGGCGGAGCTCTTCTATGGGGGCCGTTGCATTTATTTACTGTTCTTCAGGCGTCACAAACAATACATCACAGACCTTCTGTTTTTCGCGTCTGCGTCACATCCAGATACATAGCAAGCGTTCACAAGGACTCCACTGTCGCTCTCACACATCCCACAAAATACACATGCACGCAAATGCCACACTCTAGCTATCACTAAAGGAAGCAGGGCGATCTCATCTCACATCTGCATCGCTGCGTCCCTATTCACACCATACCAGGTGACACAGGAGAATCGCAGACACACGGAGGAGGAGAGAGGAGGAGGTACATACATCGCGCTCTGCATAGGAGGGGAAGAGCAGGCAAGACGCATGACAGCGCGCGAGATAGAAGGCACAACGAGGATAAGATAACGCATGAGCAGTAGGCTGCTGAGGAGAAGCAGACGAAGAGAGGAGGCAGAGACGAGGATGCGGTCCATAGATGAGATATGGGGCCGTTAGAATGCCAGATGATTATTAAATTCTAGTGTGTTCCAATTCGCCACATGGGAGTTGCTCTGACAGTCCACACACTGGGCTTCCCCGCAGCGACTCCCCTGGCCCTCTGACTGATAGTTGACGTGTGCGATCTAGACACACATAACCCCACAAGCCCTCTCCCTGACCGCAGCGCAGGGCAGCCCGTTCATCACCGCCGCAACCCCCACAGCGTGAAAAGTTCTTATCTTTAATTCGATTCCAACATTTGTTTTTGCGATATAACAAATATTTTTTTAAATTGCTCTACTTGTTAGTTAGCTTGATACAACAAGAGAAAATGTTTTTACACCACGGCTTGTACACAAATAATAGTGACATAGCACAGATCAGGGTGGTCCCAAACCCTCTACTCCAACCACAGCACTTTGTATCGAAAATCTGCCTACCCCTTTCGCTCTACAGCATAATTCAAATAAAAGACCACTTATAATATGACATGAATAATTATAAACTCTATCATTGCTCTGATATGGTACGTATGTGTATATGAGTGTAATTACATCTCTTCGATGAAACTATATTGATCTGTGAAAGCTTTTTTACAAAACCACCAAACAGAATCCTCATTTTAGTACCTTTTCTCTACTCTATGTTTAATTCTTTTAATGCATCGCAAAATTATACAGCCCAAGTTAACCTACAGCCTGGGCAGTAATATTACTTCTTGAATTAATTCTCGCATGTCGCTTTATTTTCGCGACGCTTTAGGAGCATGTGCAAATGGTCTCCCTTCGCGCGCTCGACCTACGATACAATCCTACACGATGGAGCAGCTTGCCGCACAATACGGCGGAGCACGCTTCTGACGCCAGAAACATTTCAAATAATATCAGCTCCGTTTTAAGATTGGTTCGGGAGGAAAAGAAGGGTGAGTTCCCGACGGAAAACGAGGACACATCTCACGTAGGAAAGACGTACAAGGTGCATTTGCAATGATAGGTCCCCTTAAGTATAAAAACTTCTGCTTGTCTTATATTGTACTTCTTAAATTATATTTACACAGGATTCATTGTGTTCATAAGACAGCCACGGTTCCAAAATACATTCAGGTCCATTAAATTGAAACATGTTCTAACAAATCTTAGTTGATAAGAAAAAAGCGAGAATAACTTATTTTCAATCAGCACTGAAATAGACCTTCATTATTCCTCTTCTTCTCATCAATCTGAAGAGCTCCTTTTTAAGAACGAGCTGCCACAGAATAAATGTAAACCCTCTGAGAGCTGATGCGTTCTTAAAAGCATCCTGAAGAACCCCTTTACCTCCTCTGATGATTTACTAACTTATAACTGAACCTATGAGACACGCCTCTAAAGGGCGTGTCTCCTCGAAGTGACAACAGTTTGGACCCCTGCTCTACAGCGATGAGAGGAGAAGAGGGCTGAAGGCTTTGTTTGTTGGTGCTCACTTCTGGAGCTCGGTGGG